TTTAAAAAAAAAAAAAAAAAAAGAAACAAAGAAGAAAGGGAGGTGGGAGAGAAGGAGAAAAGAAAATAAAGGTAGTGTACAAATATAGTAAGTACAGTACATAAAACTAAGCACTACTTCTGTTTGAGGCATATTTACACACACAGTGAAAAATAGAACTGAACAGAATACAGTATTAATTGGTAACCCCCAAATTATCATGTAATTTAAAACACACATGCTGTCTTCAGACCACATATGCCTAGTCTCCTCACTCAGGATTCCCTTCCTTTCTCTTCCTTCTTTTCTTCCTTCTTTCTCTCCCCCACTCTCTTTCTTTCCTACTGGGGACTGAACCCAGGACCTTAAGCATGTTCTCCAACACTGAGATACACCCCCAGCCATGAATTAGACTGGGCACTTTGAGGCCATGACTATTTCTGTTCACTTTTATATACCCAGGGCTGACATAAAGCAAGTGCCCAAATATACTCACTGAATCGATATAGACTTTCACAGTGACCCACTACAATTCACTTTTCTCTGGACATGACTTTCTTATATGTAAAATGAGGGCTTAGACTCAATGAAATTTAAGTGACTTCTAACTGAAATATTCTTTAAAAACCGAGAAACATTTCAATATTGAAGAGAAAAATATGCTATTATTAGTAGCACCCCAAAATACAATACACACACACATACACACACACAAACATATATGTCAGACCGGGGATTTAGCTCAGTGGTTCTGCCACCTGCCTTGCAAGCAGAAGGTCCTGAGTTTGATTCCCAGTACCAAATAAACAGACATATATATGTATACACACACACACACATACACGTTTTTAGGAGCCATAGTAAAAAGTAAAAACAGGTAAAATATATTATCATTTCAAATGTAATCAATATGAAAAATATTATTTATTTTAGATTTTGGATAATATTATGTTTCTGAAATGCAGGGCATATTTACAATATAACTAGAGCAGTTTACTCTTTTGTTTTGAAGGGCAGGTGTTTTTAATTTATTCAGGGGGATTAATGGCAATTACTTTACTCTTAATGAGCTGCATTTCAAGAGCTCGATAGCAAAGCAAGGCTAGTGGTGACCATATGTTAAAGAGTGGTTCTACGGGAGGACATGGGTTTCTGTGAGCAGCTCTGTGAGTGAGGTCTTGCCACCGGAGCTCAGTGGTTAGCATACATACTCAGCACATTACGAGGCCTGCATTCAATCACCACCACCACCACCATACAAAAACAAAAACAAAACAAGCCCCACTCCAAAAATCTCTACAAAATTATTCTTGGTGATTTTCCAATGTCTGATCCCAAACAACTTTCCCAGTGTTAGTTCCAACATTTACTTGCCTCAATCAACAATTATTTCCCAAATTTTGGTTTTCCTACCTATACACTCATCTCATGATTTCTCCTCCAACAAAAGCCTTTTTAACTGTCTTTTTGGGGGTAATAGGAGGCTGGAGGGAATATAATTCATGTATCAAAACTCTTTAAAGCTGGGCATGGTGGCGCACGCCTGTAATCCCAGCACTTAGATTGCTGTGAGTTCGAGACCAGCCTGGGCTACACAGTGAGTTCCAGGTCAGTCTCAACTACATAGTGAGACCCTGTCTCAAAAAACAAAGCAAAACAAAACAAAAAAAAGCTTTAAAATGACAAAATCAGTGATTTTTAGTGTATTCACACTAAAAGTGTATTACTTTTTTGGCACTCTAAATAAAACTTTTACACAGAGTAACAATAGCTCCCTACTTTCCACAGCTCCTGGCAACTATGAATCTTTATACCCAGATTGGCCTACTCTGAATATTCCATGTAAACAGAATCATAGAGCGTGTGGTCTTTTAAACCTGGATTCTCAGGGACCAGGGATTTAGCTCAGTGGTGCTACGTGCTTCAAAAGCACAAGGTCTTGAGTTGAATCCTGGGTACTGCAGCAAAAAAAACAAAAAACCTCGCTTTCTTTACTAGAGTAGTAATTCAATGTTCATCCATGAATAGAATGAATCAGAACTTCCCCCCCTTTTTTTGGTACCAGGGATTGAACTCAGAACACTGTGATTATGAGTCAGGCAGTGGCACTGCTGAGCAGCAGAACCTCCTGTTGAGGCCGAGTGACATTCCGTGTATGGATATACTACATTTTATCTACCCAATCATCTAATGATGGACAACTGGGTTCTTTTCATGTTTTGAGTGTTATGAATGCTGCTGCCTGAGCACTGTGGACACATGAACAGTTCTCTCCCTCTCTCCCTCCCTGTCTTGCCCCCCTTCACCCTCTCTCTGGCCCTTTCTCTTGCCCTCTCTCCCTCTCTCACTCGCCCTTTCTCTCTCCCTCCCTACCTCCCTCTGTACCCCCTCTCTGCACAGACATCCCCCCTCACCCTTGCTCAACCTCTCTCTCTCCAAGTCTCGCCCTCTCCCACTTTCTCTTACCCTCCCCTCTGCTCTCTCTCTTTCCCTCTCTCCCACTTTCTCTTTCACCCTCATCGGTTCTCGCTTGCCCTCCCCTCCTCCTCTCTCTCCCTGCGCTCACTCGTGCTCTCTCTCTCTATATCTTTCTCTCTCTCACCCCCCTTCAGCCCCTCTCACCTGCTGTCCTACTGTACCCTCTCTCCCACTTCTCTCACCCTCCGTCTGTGTGCGTTCTCCCTTCCTCCCTCCTTCTCTCCCTCCCTCCTCCCTCTCCCTTTCTCAGTTGCCCTCTCTCTTGTGCCCCCTTGGCCTCTCTCTCCCTTACCCTTTCTCTCTCCCCCTCTCTCTTGCTTGCCCTGTTTCCTTGCCCCCCACCATTAACACTTCAGGGATGTGCAGGCCACTAATTTAATACAGGACTTCATTCGACTGTTGTAGTTCTAAAACTCTCTTTTACTCTAAGCTTCCGGGAACTTTCCAATTTGTTGGGCAATATACAAAATAACAATACCTTTTCTTTATGCAAGTCATTTTACCACTACGGTCTACTTTTAATGCGTATAAGCGGGGGCCAGGGATTTAGCTCAGTGGTTGCATGCTTGCTTTGTAAGCACAAGGTCCTGAGTTTGAGCCCTGGTACCAAAAAAAAAAAAGTAATAGCAGGGCCGGGGATTTAGCTCAGCAGTTCAGTGGCCTGCCTTGCAAGTGCAAGGACCCGAGTTCAATCCCTGGTACCAAAAAGAAAAAAAAAAAAAAAATGCATAAGCTGGACAACATTATGTTCCCATAAAAATAAAAATAATGTTCACAGAAGTTAGCAAGAGGTTTGCCAAGACATGAAAACATACCCCTAAACCCATATTTTTTTAGTATGACCCAAGACCTGGAGGACTGAGAGGTTAATCAAAGTTAAGCACATGTTTAATAATGCAGCCAATCAAGCACAATGGCTTAGAGTACACCAAAATATTTAGAAGTTAAAGGTAGCTTTTATGAAGTGGAAATCAGACTTACTTTGCTAAATAACACTATTTTTTTTAAAGTAAAAACATAATTAAGTGGCAAATGTGCTGTAATATGCTAAATTCTCACTTAAACATGAGAACAATTTGTCAGAACCACAGGCTTTTTAAAAAGGAAAGCAGTACCAACCACCCACCTGGGGGCAGCATATCCTAATTGTAAGCAGATAAATAGAACATGTACGAAGAATAAAACAGTGTTGTAACAACCTAATAAACAATATTAGGAAGTGCTCACTCAGAAACACAACTGCTGCTCCTACACCACCTTCCACTAAGGATGGTCTAGGTGAAACAATTTACCTTGAGAAAAACACTACAAGGCTTCCCAAACCAGTCCATCCTACCCTGGAAACTAAGGCAGCAGAGGAGTGGTGCAGCACCTGCCCCACAAGAACACACATATCCACACCCCAGTCCACAAGCACAACAGTCCAGGGGAAAGAAAACTAGCTTAGAGGCAGTGCCCAGACTCACTTCCTGCTCAGGCAATCACATGACTGAATCAATGAGATTTTTTTTTTTCTTTTTATCCATCTTTTTATGCAATAGATGTAGAAAACATTCTCTGAATTTGTAACTATTAAACAGGGTAATTGTACATACTTGTAAATGTGTACACACATACATTTATATGTGTGTTCATAAAAATGAAGGTAATTTTAATTCAACAAAATAAATTACAACTATTTTAAAAAAGAGACTTTATGTACTGAAAATTAATCTCGCCTTAAACGCAAGTTAAAGGTAAAACATGTACCTGATTTGTTAAAGATACTGTTATGCTGATACTATGAATGTTAAGTTGTTGCAAGGTATTTTGAGTTCATAATGATTTAACCTACAAGCCATTCAAATCATATATGAAAAAAGGAGTCTGAATTTTTAAACACTGTAATTTTTCTTGACACAGCATCAGGACTACCTTTTTAACTAACATACTCGATGCTAGTTGGAAGAAACTAATATCCTGCATATATACCATGATGGTACAAAAGTATTTCATATTATCAGTTCACCAACTTACCATCTTTATTCTTCATCAAGCTGTATAACAGCTATCATATTCTCAAATGACATATAATTTTAATGCTTTAAAATTTGTTTTGTCATAAAATATATGTAATGTTTTCATGATTAGCAGCCTGCTCTCTTGCTTCTACATTTATCTCTCAAATCTGCTACTTAACCTGTGGTTCCCGTGGATTTTCTTTGGCATTTATGGTCTGAAACTGACTAGACACTAAATGGGTTGGTCCTCTGCTCCTTTGCTGGTTCATACTCGTGCCCAGAACCTCCAGATCTCAGGCACAATACTGATCACACTTTAAAAAATCTCCAAATGAGCACTCTCGGTTCTGAAATGTGATTATTTCCACCTCAGTCTAACCACATTACCTTTCTCTGCCTAAAGCAACAACCATACTACTGTCAGTATGATGAAACTGACAGCTTTGATACTACCCTTTCTTACTTGCAATGTCCAGTGGATAACTGACTTGACATTTTTCCTTATTTATCCTTTAAACATATCCTTCATCTTTGACTGTCCTAAATTTTTCTATTTAACTAAAAAAATAAGAACTGTGCACTTACAGTATTTATGAATTTCTAATAATATGCTATGTAAACTAGAGTATGTTGGCCACATAATATATTGGCTTATTATAGCAAAATTTACACATAAGCAAATTATTTGTTGGACATGAAATAAATCAAGGAGAATTAGCTAGCTTATTGCAGATGTAAACCATATGAATGCCACGCATAATGGAGAGGGTCACTGGCCAGGGCATCTTCTCTTTAAGTCATGCTTAAAATGCTGGGCAGAGTGACGCAATGCTCATCTTTGGGCTTATCCTTCCAGTACCCTCCCTTGGTTAGCACATTGGGAAAACATGATTAATTAAGTGGAGATGATTTAATGGCCTCCTCTGCTGTCTCACACTAAGGCTGTCACAGACATGCTCACATCTTAGATCATTTTGATCCACACAGCGGGGATATGCACAGACAAGAACACAGGGTGCTGGCTGAGAACACAGGAAATTGGTATGACTACACGCTGTCACAGAGGGGCAAAAGGGGCACCCGCCAACCAAACACAACAGTCTCCCTAATAACCAGGGAAAAATCCACAAGAACCAGGTTCCCCTCAAGCCAGAAACCTCTCGGTTTGCTTGGGGAGGAAATATTTTTTTAGATTTAACTGGCCAAAATAATGAAAGAGAACAACGTAACACTGCCACATGGTTATTTAATTATATTTTTCAAACAGAACAAACTGAGTTTTCTGTTTATGCTGATGTGTATGTTAAATGGGACATTTAACATTTCAGTCAATTAAATTCTTGAGATTATAAGGTATTCTGTTTATAATGAAAACGTCAACATATGTACTTTGAGCATTTAATTTTTGTAGGCACGGACCTAAGCTGGAGTCTAGCCTACAGCACTCAATTATGTCAATAAAAAAATACATGCTAATTCATATGCAAACCTTGCACAGCTTCTGTTTCAGGTCCTGCTTTGTCCACAGATGTACTGTCCACCAGGGAAGATGCTACAGATTCTGATAACAGTGACTGATTTGACACGGAACTAGAAAAGAAAAGTTATTTTCATTTTTTAAAATAAAAATGTATTATTTATTTTTATGTTTTAAAAAATGTTTTGCTGTGAGACAGAATCTATGTTGCCCCAGCTTGTCTTAAACTCTGGATCACAATCTTCCTGCCTCACCTCTGCCCGAGTGCTAGAACTATAGGTCCCTGTTACTGCATTATGAAATATTTCTATTTTAAAAGATAATGTGCACATGTGAGTATTTTTTAGGACTTTTACGAGTACATGTTTACAGTACATAATGATTACATTCACAGTAGGGAATTGTTACATGAATATAATGTTTCAATTCACTCCCTGCACCTATTTTTCTAGCATCATTTATGTATAAGACCATATAGAGTTAATTATCATATATACAGATTGAAAACCAGACTAATAGGCCGAAGAACATGTAACACATGGAAGATAACTGTACTAAGTCAAGGAACACTTTTAGATACACTGCACTCGATTACATTGCCTTTTTTGCTTTCTTTCTTTCTTTTTTTCTTTTTTTTTTTTTTTTGGTACCAGGGATTGAACTCGGGTCTTTGCACTTGCAAGGCAAGCTACCAAACCACTGAGCTAAATCGCTGGCCCCACATTACCTTTTTTTTTCTTTCTTTTTCCTATTCTCTTTTATTTCAAAACAATTATTATTTTTTTCATTTTAAAGGAACCATGCAGCCAAGAATGGTGGCGCAGGCCTGTAATCCCAGCACTTGGGAGGCTCACTGCAAGTTTGAGACCAGCCTAAGATTCACACTGAGTACAAGGACAGTCTGAACTACATAGTGAGAACCTGTCTCAAAAAAAATAAAAATAAAAATAAAAAATAAACCATGCAGTACTTATTTAAGCTTGTGTGTCTGAGTTACTTCATCTCACCTGTGAATATTAACTAAGGCAGACAATAAATAAGTCAAATTACTTGTGTAAATCAGTAACAGTACACAGAGGCACTTGCTTGTAATGTAATCATAGAGCTTTAAAACTAGAGGAATGTGGACCAGAAATCTATGCTTTGGAAACAAAGCAAAAGTGTATTTCCTTTATGCAATTCAAGTATCACATGAATCCATGATATGAAATGCAGCATTATAAAGACATACTTAAGGCCCCTAAGGCAAAGCTGCAAGTGGCATTCTGGCATACCAAAACCAAACATCTCCTACCATGAATTGAAAAATGGAACAGTAGTGCAGAAACTTGATATACTTATCACTAAAGGAATAAAACTGAAACAGGTATTTCTGTATGCAGCCTTCTCACTCTGACTTTGGAGTTAAAAACAAAACAAACAAATACAAATGCTGTATCATGGCACTGAAGATAATATGTGATAAGACCTTTTTTTTTTTAATGCAGAACACTAATTCTTGCAGACTAAGACTGCAATTTAAAAAGTTAATTTGCTGTGCTTCAAAAGGATTTCAGGTGTGGGCTAGGATATGGTATGAGGAAGAAGAAAAAGAAGTTTGAAAAAGAAATCAGACTTAAAAGCTCACCCCTCCATTAAAACAATAAAATGCTTTTTCTAACTAGCGAATATAAACAGATAGAATTTTACAAGCTAATTCAGCTTTACAGTCTTCCCTAACAGATCAACAACAGAATGCAATCCAGAGTTCACCTTACCTTGGCTGCATAGATGAAGATGTAGGGTCTAATGCTGACTGAGCCTCTGGGACACTGCCATCTGTGCACTGAACTGGTAATGATTCGGACAGACTACTGACAGAAGCTGCTGTAACAGTACCAATTTCACATTAGTGAGTCTATATTCTGGGCAGCCCAAGACCTGATCTAAAAAACTGAAAATCAACTTTCTATAATATATAGTATATGGATTATGTTTTACTGTAGCTGTTGGTTCATATTTTTTAAAATTTATTTTTATTATTAAATGAATCTTGGGTCTTCACAATCAGGTACATCTCTAGGCATTTTTAAATTTTTATTTTGAGAAGGGGGCTCACTAAATCATTAAACTGCCTGGGCTAAACTCTAATTTAGAGTGATCCTCCTGCCTCAAACTCCCAGAATGTTGGGATTACAAGCATGCACAACCATGCCTGGCTTGTTTCATTATTTTTAATTCAAAACTCTGTAATACTGTAATTTGCCAATGAATTTTTTTTTTTCTGGTGCTGGGGATTGAATCCAAGCCTTAGCATGCACTCTAAAACCAAGTGATACCCTTAGCCTGAAAAATGTTTAATTATTTTTTTTTAAAGTTTAGGTTTTTCTTTTCTTTCTTCATCCCTCCCTCCCACCAACCCTTCCTTCCATTTTCTATCTTTTAAAAAAATGTTAACCAAGAAAACCATATTTATAAACTGCATATAATAATAAACTAAATTCCTACTTCTTAGGACCACCCAAACCCCAAGGCTTTAAAACATAAACACCTTTCAAGTATCAGTCTATAAATGAGATTTTTAAAATAAGAGCTAACTTAGCTGAATTTACAACTAAGTTCATAAAGAGCTAATACATTAGGTTGTACTTTGACTATACTTCCTACGACACAAAGGTAGGTAATTATTTAATTTAGGAACAATTCATGTTCATTTGATCTTAGCCTTAAGATAGTTTTGAGATTTTGATGAAATGGTTCTAGTTTTTACTTAAACATGAAACAATTATAAGATTCCATATAATTTAAATGAACTAAGTAAAAGCTTATACTTCCATTAATCTTCCAGTAACCTATATTAAAACTATCCTATCTGAATAGCTTTGACACTTTTGTTTAGCAAAGCTTGTATTCATCCTCATGACCCTTCTCACACAACTGCTGAAACAAAAGACCATCTCAATTCCAGGACAATCCCTTCACACAAAAAAGCATAAAACCCCAAGAGAATGGGTGCTAAGCACTGTTTACAGTGGAGTTAATTTGTCACATTCCTCCTTCGTAATAGAGGCAGGCTTTCTCCAAGGTCACCTGTGGCTAAGTATAATGCTCCATGTATCTCAATATTCTTTCCTTCAACAACTACCTTGGCTGGGCCAGGGATTTAGCTCAGTGGTGCCACTCACTGCCTGCTTCGCAAGTACAAGGTCCTGAGTCCTGAGTTCCATCCCCAATAACCAAAAAAAAAAAAAAAAAAAAAAAAAAAAAAAACCAAACCCCATGCAGATAGAAGAACGAAAGTCCCCTTAGAGCCCACACTCCTTCACTTTACTGTCCAAAACAGCTACATTAACTTGAGGTGTGCCTCTGTTTGTACAAGGTAGTAAAGAGTTCTTGTAGTACAGCAAGTTAAGACTTCACAGTATTTACAAAGAGCAGAAGATACTCTATTTCTGACTCCCACTACTGATCACAATGTGTGAGAAGAAATTTTACTGAGCTGAAAGTGGTGATGCAAATACAATGTGAGAGCAGAAAAGGATATACTGGACTATCCAAATGTATGCAAATGATAAATATGGCTGTGTTTTAACACAGTTACTTACCAGGTGGACTTATTCTACCATTACTACTATTCTGTCTTTGAAGATGTTCTTTATAGCACACTGAACACATGCCATTTGTACGAGGGTTTCCATAAAATCCGCAGCCAGTGGAACAAAGCATAGGCACTTGGCTGTGATTCGTTTCTTGAGCCATGTTCCTCTGGTGTACACCTGAAATTTATAAAGAATTTGCAAAGAACTCAGGTACTTCAATTGTACATTATCCAAATATCCTCTTGTAATAAAGGAACCCCCTCATTACATCCTTCTCACCACTCTATATAATTGAACCAAGACATAGAGCTGATAAAGACCAAGGACATACACAAAACTTTTACCTGCAACTTACTCTACACAGAAGACTGTCCTGACTAAGAAAGTATAAGATGTGATTAAAAAATAGTTACTGTTGCTTTGAACACACTTATCCCATCACTCTTGCCACTTTCTGAAGCATTTCTGAAAGACTTCTTTCATGAGTGTCTTTAGTATGATGTGGCTGCCTCAATATCCTGAATCCATTAAAAAAATTAACCTTTCATGGTCATTTTGACTTTGAAAAAGTGTGAGAAGTTGATGGTGCTAGATACAGTGAATTAGATGGATGAGGACATACTGTAATGTTTTTATAAGCCTGCCTACTCACTAGATGGAACTGAGCAGCAGCATTCACTGTAATTTTCATTATACCTTATTAAAGACATGAAAGATGATACATAAAAACTGGCAAAAATGATGAGAATAGCATGTCTGAAGCAAGGGGGAAGTGTTTTGAGAGGGATTAATGACTGTTTCCTTTATTATAATAAAAAATTCACCATATATTCTGATCACCTCTGCATAAAGAATTCCTAGAGAAAGGGAGCCGTTTTGAAGATTGAACCATCCAAAAGTTAAGGACAACTCTTAGTCTCATTCAATTTGAGACTTTTCCAATAATGAGGAATATACATTATAGGTTTTGCTGCATGTTATACCATTTAATTTCTAACCATTTAAACTTTTACTCAAAGTTCAGATGTTAACTTGTATAATTATCTGTTTTAAAAAGCATTTAACCATAATATTGATTCTGGTGAAGAAGATATGGAGAGTTGGGCAAAATTCTAGTAAAATGAGAAATGAGTTTAATCATTCTGGAAAGCTATTTAGCAATTCACCTCGAGAGTCCAGTGGAAAACAAATAGTGCCTTCCAAACCAGCCATTCTCCTTGTATAATCAGAAACTGAGGAAGGAATAATATACAAGGGATATGCTTCACAGCATATTTATAATGTTGATAAACTAAAAATAGCCTATCTGTCCAATACCAGGAGAATGAACTTATTAAAATTATGATACATATTAATGGCAAAAGTTATATAGTCATTCATATTTTAAAATGATTTCTGATGGGAAAATACTGGTAACAAATGAAATAATGAAATGTATACATATTATATAAATACATAATATATAGAAGTTAATTAGGACAAAAAGAGCATCTATTAGTCACCCAAAAGGGCGATAGAGATATCTCAGGATTGCAAAAGCAATTATTTTTTCCTACCTGATACATACTTCTTCTGTACTTTAAAAATTCATTACAGTGAAAATATTATTTGTCCAATTAGGGAGAAAATTTATTTTTTAACTAAAAAATTTAAAACTACAATTAAAAACTAATGAGGCAGAAGCATCAGTCAAGTATGTTGCCCTGGGACTTAGGAACTGTCTGGGAACCACATGAAGGCAGGGATCCATCACAGCAGATGGAAGAACCCCATGTGCCATTTCTCCCATAAAGCAACTGGCTCTTTGGCATAAATAACAAGACAGACGGTAATAACAGGATCTTCCTTATTAAAAAAAAACACCTCCTAAATCAAGGTTACTCCAGAGTGAGTGAATGTGTATTACAGATGACCTATGCTCAAAGATCATAAAGAATGAGACTAACCAGAGGAGGAAAATGTTTCACCATTGAAATTTTCTTTAACTGATAAACACGTAGGGAAAGCATTCCTTGTTTACTCTGTTATCAGATTTTTCTTCAACTAAACTGTTAAAAAGACTGTTGAGGGGGTGAGGACAAGTTAACACAAATTTCAGAACTCCTGTAAATACACATACCAAATTAAAGGTGCTGATGGTACAGCAAAGCTTATTTCAAATACCTTTTTTTTTGGCCTATGTTCTTGAGGGATACTGGTCTGCAGCTTTCTCTCTTCTTACAATGTTTGTTTGGTTGTGTTATCAGGGTAACTGCTCACTGTCATGAAGCTAATTAATAAGTGATGGAGCTGGGATTTGATCCAGGTAGTCTGACTACAGCAAAGTCCATGATCTAAACGAGCAGTTCTCAAATTGTGGTCCAGGAACCCCTATGGAGGTCAAAACTGGTTTCAGAATAACACTAACAAGTTGTTTGCCTTTTTACCACACTGACACAAACAACAGTGGTACAAAAGTAGTGGTGGATAAAAGAACTGTAGCCTTAACACAGAGTCACACCAAGCTAATAGCACCAAACACTACTGGTAGTTGTGCTCTTCGTCAAGATCTCATGTGAAAAGCATTAATTTTATTAAATCTTGTCCTATGAGTAACTGGGAATCATGTATAAAGCACTCCAGTTGCACACAGAAATGACAACTCTAAAGAAAAACCACTTGGGCAGCTGTTGCAATTATGACCTGGCTGAATTACCTTTTTCATGAGCATTTTCATTTGAAAGAATGACTGATACTCTAGTTATCTCTACTAAAGTATATGGTGGACATTTTCTTGAAAACTGTAACAAAGTGAACCTGATAGTCCAAGCAAATGAAAGTATTCACCACCAAGGACAAAAACATTCAAGAACTGAAACAAGAAAAAGGCTGACAAAACTCCCACAGTTTTGGAGAGATCAGTGGTGGTATTAATGAAACGTGTGCAATTAGCTGATACTAAATCAACTTTTGAAAGATCTTCATAAGTTGGCAAACTATTATTTTCCAAGTACCCAATACGGGATGGTACAAAATTTTTCATAAACAAAAAATCTAGTGAAAGTGAATGATAAATGAATGTTACAGATAAGACAAGACCAAAAAAAAAAAAAAAAGAGTATGTTTAAGAAACTACCAACTTTAGGAGGTAGGCCGGCCCCGATCCACCGCGGGAGGGAGAACCATGCCTGCTCCCGACCCATCAACCATTGCTCAAGCGCCGGGAGGTAGGCCGGGCCCCCATCCACCGCGGGAAGGAGAACCACGCCTGCTCCCGACCCAGCAGCCATCGCTCAAGCACCTGGTAGGTAGCCACGCGGGTGCCCCTGAACCCCCATAATCCGCCCCCCTCCCGCACTCTCAGACCTCCTCACTGTGCAAGTCTTTGGACCCAATCTGCAAAGACAGAGGTGGTCCTCAAGGGTATTTTTCTGAGTTCCCAACTTTGAACATCTTTAAAGAAAGGGCGTGGGAAACCTATAATAGAACGTTGCGCAGTTCAACCATTCAGAAGGATGGGGAACTCAATCTGGGCCTTGCAGCCCGAGGTCAGTCAGCTTCATGTGGTTCAGCAATCAGCTAACTGAGATCAGGGATCTTGCCTCCTTGCTCTGTCTGAGCCATTAAATGGTAAATATACTATATTGAAAAGTTTGTTCACTGCAGACATGTTCTGGACTGTTTCTTGATTTCAATTTAATTCAAATAATTTAAGGGTGATAGACTAGTGACTACCACAGGTGGTCAGTGTCCAAGTTGTGCTTGATCTTAATGTGTTGCTGATTGTATCAGTTCGGGTAAATAAAGCATTGCCGTTGATTTGATGAGCTGTTTTCTCTGATGTTATGAAGATGAGAATGTCCGTGGGTCATTAGAGACACAGAAGCTAGGGTGCAACTATATCAGGAAGATTTGGGTGATAATCCAGAGATTAAACCAAGGACAGTCCAACAACAAAAATTAAAATGAGGAAACACTTAAGCAAGACACAAGGACAGACTTCCATTTCACCAATGGCAAACAGTAGGGCAAATGAGGATGAAAAGGCCGATAGTGAACCACCAGGACACCCTGAACTCAAAGCACAGGAAGTAACAAAACAGATCAATCAGGCTCTAGAAAAATTCAAAACAGAAATAATTTCCCAGATAACCATAGAGATAGTGAGCAAAATGGAAGTCGTGATTCGAGACTCTAGAGCAGAAACTGACAAAAAAATAGATGAGCTCAGGACCATGATAGAAGCCATGAAGGCCCAGCATAAGAAAGAAATGGAAAAAATAAACTCCCAACATAGGAAAGAAATGGAATCCATAAAACAGATTCAAACAGATATCCAGGAGATTAAACACTCTATTGAAAGTGTACGCAACAGAATAAAAGAATGCGAAGATAGGCTCTCAGATATAGAAGATAAGATTGCAGTCAGTGACCATGAAAAGAGAGGTCTCTTAAAAACAGTAAGAGATCATGAGAAATCGATCCAACAACTCCTAGATGATGCAAAGAAGAATAACATAAGACTGATAGGAATACATGAAGTAGCAGGAGAAAATACAAATGACTTAGAAAAGCTGTTTGCAGAATTAATGACAGAAAACTTCTCAGAGGGGAAAAATTTGAAATTCAGATAAATGAGGCATATAGGACCCCAACTAGCTACAATCAAAAAAAATCTACACCTAGACATATAATAATCAAGATCCCAGAAACTCAACAGAACAAAATACTACAAGCAGTAAGAGAAAAGAAACAAATCACATACAAAGGAAAGCCCATCAGAATCACAGCAGACTTTTCAACACAAACCCTTGGGGCAAGGAGAGCCTGGAATGAGATATTTCAAGTACTAAAAGAGAACAACCTCCAACCTAGACTGATGTATCCAGCAAAACTCTCTTTCAAAATGGAGGGGGAAATAAGACACTTCCACGACAAAGAACACCTGAGAAACTACATGAATACCAAACCAGCACTACAAGCAATTCTAAACAAGATCCTAGAAAAAGACAATGAAGGCAACAACACCATGAGGCCCAACAGAGCCAATCAAATAGGAAAGGCAAGAAATTAAAAGGAGAAGGTGAAAAAGTAAAAACAGTCAACAAAAGGCCAATAACATGTCAATAATAAGTCAGTACGTGTATCAGTTATAACCAGCAATGTCAATGGCCTCAATTCATCAATCAAGAGAAATACACTGGCAAAATGGAATAAGAAGCAAAATCCAATAATATGTTGTATACA